TAACTAAACAATTAATTAACCACCATCATCTAGTTCTGCACGATGATAAGCACAGCAAAAATAAGCTGTGGAACTTCCAGTCTCCTCAACTCTTCACGCTTTCAAATAAAACGTTTTCCATCTGTACTACTCTATTCAACAAAGCACAAATAGTTATGGGAACCTTTAAGTTCACAGACTGCTCTTTTTGATATTCTACGGAGGACAAATCTTACAGTTTTTGGCATTCTGGGAACATTGTCTGAAATTTAACAAGCAGCTTCTTAAATAGTTTGATGCTGCCCATGTCAGTCCCTTATTAACATTTAGTCTTCCAACAATCACAAAGACTTCATTGATAACTAATCAAAATGCTTCATAACTATCGTCACACAACTTAATTTCTTCAATCATAAAGACAGAAAGTGGTTTATGTAGCAAGTCGTCAAACTAAAATTCTCTTCAGCTTTGTTTAAGGAACACTAGATAAGACTATCATCGCTTGTTAAAGTTATGCCATCCAAAACTGGGCATTCACTGATACTTTCCTACCTCATAGAAGGGCCTATGACCTACAATAATTTACAGTCTACAATGGCTTACACACTCTTGCACAGCTAAAAATCAATCCCTAATGCTATAACCAACGTTCTCAAATGATACCATAACAACGAGCCAAATATTTTATTAAGTATAGAACTTATCAAGATTCTCAGAACAGCCCCTCATTTCATATTTGCCCAAAGTTGTCATGTCGTCCCAAATTTTTATTCATGAAAGAGCAATCTCAAACTCCCAACAAAAACTTGAAAATCAGCACTTTATGTATACTAAGTCACATTGCTTGGCTATGGTTACCGGAGCAGAAAGAAGCTGGAGCACAAAATGTCCAGATTGAGAAATACTTGAATGGGAGAACCTAAGAATGCCTCTTACAAGATATGGAAAAATAAATAAATCATATAACTATCACATTCCCCCTTATTTTTATTTTAAAAACGGAAAAAGCCTGTGACCCTGGGCACTAGAACAGCTGCACAGGCATATGCAGACCATTGCCCTTTCATTTTCTATTCTTGATTAATACTACTTCCAAGACCTCTACCGTTGTACACCACCCCCCAAAACATCCCCCTTCCCTTCATTGTCATCTCTCTCTCATCCATGCACACAGGGCCAAAGAGTACTCGAGCCCCTAAGCTTTCACCTTCAACGTCCTCCGCCTCCATCCTGCTCTGACAATGGCGCATATACAGAGCCAAAGAATTAACTTAACACAACCACTTTAAACTTCCTCAGCCACCATTTACCTCCAACAGTGGCACCAGCGACCAGGTTTAGAGATTTCGTATTCACGAGTTATGATCAGGTAGTGCACCTTGGAGCAACATTCATGCTCTCAAAGTGGTGGTTTGAGGTGGTAATAAATGAGACCTAAATTCCTCAAATATTGGCTCAAACTGTTAGAAGTGAACATAAATAAACCCAGTTAAAAGAAATAACACGAAAATTATCTCTTCTACATCTAAAATACAATTATATAAAAAAAATTAACTTGGCGATCACATCCATCTAGTCCCAAAAATATCAAACATGCAAGGAAGAGGCAAACTACATCAATATTGCAGTCTTTCAATTGTTTATGAACTGCTAATCAGCTAAATTAAGGTACATTCAGTGTTCTTCAAGCTATAGTTATATGTAGAGCTCGTAACTCCTCGATCCAGTTTTCTTTTTGACCATAGACTATTCAATGGACATGGAGAAAAAGGTTTTTTTGTGACAGGTGGGAGATCAAATGCACAATCAATTAGCCAAGATAATATGTGAATCTTGATTCTTCTTCAGTTCTGGCCATCAATTAGCCGTCAAATGTACATTTTATATGCACTTATGTANTATATTAAATTAGAATTAAATATTTAATAAAAAATTGATTTAATAATTCATTAATTATTAATTAAAAATTTAAAAAACCTGATTTGTGAATTTTCAAACTTGTTTTGGTATTTTTGAAAAGATGTAAAGTAAATACCTTAAAAATGTATTGTTCCCGTCGTTTTTCCTATTGGCATGTGCCGGTTGGGTTGCTTGCAGGCCACAATGCAACCTCGACATAGCCCACCTTCAAAGGCGGCCTCACCTAATTACATAAATTTAAACTATATCTAGTTCAACATACCAAACAAGCCATAAGAGTTTATGTAAGTCCAATTCATGATAACTAAACAATTAATCACCCACCATCATCTAGTTCTGCACGATGATAAGCACAGCAAAAATAAGCTGTGGAACTTCCAGTCTCCTCAACTCTTCACGCTTCCAAATAAAACGTTTTCCATCTGTACTACTCTATTCAACAAAGCACAAATAGTTATGGGAACCTTTAAGTTCACAGACTGCTCTTTTTGATATTCTACAGAGGACAAATCTTACAGTTTTTGGCATTCTGGGAACATTGTCTGAAATTTAACAAGCAGATTCTTAAATAGTTTGATGCTGCCCATGTCAGTCCCTTATTAGCATTTAGTCTTCCAACAATCACAAAGACTTAATTGATAAGTAATCAAAATGCTTCATAACTATCGTCACACAACTTAATTTCTTCAATCATAAAGACAGAAAGTGGTTTATGTAGCAAGCTGTCAAACTAAAATTCTCTTCAGCTTTGTTTAAGGAACACTAGATAAGACTATCATCGCTCGTTAAAGTTATGCCATCCAAAACTGGGCATTCACTGATACTTTCCTACCTCATAGAAAGGCCTATGACCTACAATAATTTACAGTCTACAATGGCTTACACACTCTTATACAGCTAAAAATCAATCCCTTATGCTATAACCAACGTTCTCAAATGATACCATAACAACGAGCCAAATATTTTATTAAGCATAGAGCTTATCAAGATTCTCAGAACAGCCCCGCATTTCATATTTGCCCAAAGTTGTCATGTCGTCCCAAATTTTTATTCATGAAAGAGCAATCTCAAACTCCCAACAAAAACTTGAAAATCAGCACTTTATGCATACTAAGTCACATTGCTTGGCTATGGTTACCGGAGCAGAAAGAAGCTGGAGCACAAAATGTCCAGATTGAGAAATACTTGAATGGGAGAACCTAAGAATGCCTCTTACAAGATATGGAAAAATAAATAAATCATATAACTATCACATTCCCCCTTATTTTTATTTTAAAAAAGGAAAAAGCCTGTGACCCTGAACATAAATAAACCCAGTTAAAAGAAATAACACGAAAATTATCTCTTCTACATCTAAAATACAATTATATAAAAAAAATTAACTTGGCGATCACATCCATCTAGTCCCAAAAATATCAAACATGCAACGAAGAGGCAAACTTGACCATAGACTTTTCAATGGACATGGAGAAAAAGGTTTTTTTGTGAGAGGTGGGAGATCAAATGCACAATCAATTAGCCAAGATAATATGTGAATCTTGATTCTTCTTCAGTTCTGGCCATCAATTAGCCGTCAAATGTACATTTTATATGCACTTATGTAGGTAACAAGGTCAAGAATTCTAAATGGCCCTCCATTTCATATTTGCCCATATATTTCTTTACCATAGAATAGGAGTAATCCCACATTCTGAACAAAGAGCTGAAACTCCCTTGCTAAGGCACTCAAACCATGAGCCGGTGAGGCGAACAAGAGCACCAAAATAAAAAAATGTCAAGAAAGAAGCAGTTGGGGATGCCTAAATAAAGTTATATAAATTACTAAGGGCTGAAAAATTAAGGTAAATAGCTAAGCTCCACTTGGTACTTCAGCTACAAAAGAGACTATCAGGTTTTAAAATAAGAGCCGGTGTGCCTTCTTACTAAGAACCTTCTATTCTAAATATACGTGAACTTAAAAGCAGAAAAGCGAAAAAAAAAACTAAATAAATGCCTCAAATCTAGCACAATTCATTTTCTCACTGTTGCTGATGGTTACATCTGATCTGGCGTATACTTTTTGTCTCCTCTTGTTCTCCTTTTCTCCACACAATACATTCTCTCACTGTTGCTGATGGTTACATCTGATCTGGCATATACTTTTATGTTCCTTTTTCTTTTCTGTCTCCTCTTTTTTTCCTTTTCTCCCTCTCCAACCATCACCATGATATCCAATTTTCAATCCCCTTCCCCTCTCTCTCTCTCTCCCTCCCTCTAACTCACACATATGCCAGTGCAAAGACTCCTAAACCTAACATATCCAACTTCAACATCCTCTGCCTGCCACCATTTCCCCGTCAGAATGGTGGCTGCCTCTAACAACCTTGACTAGAGGAAAATAGTTTAGAATCTTTCAATCCACAACTCAACGATAGACAGTGCATCTCAGGGAAGTGCTCCCCACTTAAACCATAGGATTGTACTTTGAACACAACTAGGCAATTTACCTCTTAAGACAGCATAAATGAACTGAGAACCTAATAAAACAGCATTAACCTAAACAATGTTAGCTTTATAAGAAACAGAGACAGAATAACACAATTATATCTTCTACACCACCTATAATTATTTATTGAGGCACCAAGTGGAAAGTGTGTACCAAGATAAAAACGCCTAACATATAAATAATAGATGCATATGATAAAAATAGCCATTAAAATGCAATCGTTCATCGTCTTATTTCCAGTCAGTTCCAAAATTTACACAACACTTCAACATACTATTAATGATCAGTGGAGAATTAAATGTGGCACGTGCATGTATAACTTTTAACAATAATGAGATAAACAACATTCACTAATTCTGATCCACGCACAAGATCCATGACGCCAGCAACAAAACTAGGTAAAAAGATACATCTCCAAGGAAGCCTTAAAATTCACACACAACGCCCAAAAATAATCAATAGATCTTCACTATATTCCGAAGTTCAATATCATCCTTCCAGATTCCAAACATATTCCAAGACACAAAAAAGAAAAAGAGACAAGGACGATCAAAGAGAATAACCATAATCTTCCCGTCATCATTACTATTGATTTCAATTAACGAAAATATCAATATCACTGCCCTGTAGTGTCCTCCCCGTGGCCATGGCAACAATTCCTATCACCAACATCATGACTATGTTTGTGATCATCATCCTCATCCGAATCGTCCTCGTCGAATGGCTTTTCCTTGTGGAAAATGCAGCATTTCTTGGAACTCTTCCTGTTCATGAACTCGTTGTCCACCGTGCCTTCCTTCCACGACACCTTCTTCTTAGGCGGCTTCAATTTCAAAACTAGGGTTTCCGTAATTGGCTGTGGTTGTTGTTGATTGGAGGAAGATGTGGTTTCAAGGGTTAGGGAAGTTGTGGCTGTGGCGGTGGAAGAAGTAAAGGGTATCACTAGAGGAAGATGTGGTTTCTAGGGTTAGGGTAGTTGTGGCTGTGGCGGTGGAAGAAGTAAAGGGTATCAATTGCCTTGAGGCGGCCGTCGCCATTGTTGATCGTGTTCTGCTTATTCAATTTGGGGGAAATGTAATTGTCTTTTATAGAGGCGGGGAGCAGTTGCAAATGAGGTTGGTAATAGCGTAGTAGTTTCATTTCATCTCAAATTTTCTGGACTCTATTCGTATTGACATCACTATACAACGTACCATAGAGAATATATGACGTAGCCATTTCATTTACATGTGCAGTTTGATTCAGATTATTGTAGTCTACAGAATGAGAATGAAAAATGGAAAAAAGTTTACATGCACATAGTAGCGTCCATAATGTGATATCGACAAAATTCTGTTGTTGATTTGAAAGTGTGAGATTTGAATTAATGGTTGGATTCAGTGCCACGTGTAATTATGGACACAGTTATGTATAGATTTATGTACATATAGCACTTCTCATGAAAACTATAGTCGTTATTGACCCCACACAATAGATAGAAATTCAAAATTGATGGCTTGATATGATGAATAACTGTCATATTTTTCATTTTTATGGATGGAAAATGAGAAACAAACGGAAGCGTAAATTAATTGAATTGGTCAAAATAATATGTATGTTTTCAATATATTTTTCTTTGTTTAATTATTTTGAAATACATATTTTAATTCATACGTTTAATATTTTTAGTTTAGTTTAACAAGTGTCCTTAATTGAAAAATATAATTTTTTCATAATATAATTTAATATTACATAAAAAATTTATAACATACATAAAGTAATTGTCCCATCTAAGCCTACGTTTGGAAAGAATTTATAATAAAAAAATAAATATAATCTTTTATCATATGAATGAATCTATTGATTTTCTTGGCCTTGCAGTTAAATGCAACGAGTTGATGATTAAATGCTACACTTCGGTAAAAGAAAGAAGCTTACAATACGTACTGGGTAGAAATACGAAATTGAGATCATTAATTTCATATCCATCATTGGTATGATGTATTTATCAGAAGAATTCAATGCAATCACAAATATATACTCATAACTATCTTGAAACATACTACGTCAAAAGCAAAACTTATTCAAGAAACATAGTTAATAAACTTAAGTGTACAAAACCTAGCATATTTGGTACCTATATTCTAAAGTTCATTTTTCTCCTAAACTCGTTTTCAACCACACATTTCACGAAATCCACAATTTTTATCAACCACACATTTCATCAACTTTTATCAAAATCTATCAAAATTCTAATTTTTATCTAAACCAAACAACGGCTAAAGAAGAATAAAACATTTTTCAACTCTTTCTAGTTTCTACAAATATCGCATTTTTCAGATGGTATATACACTAACACAACGATGAGAAACAAGATCAGCTATTGATCATCGCATCAAAACTACCAATAAAACCCAGCTAGTTTTTATCGTACTCGTGCATTCCTCCCATTTTTTCTGCTCACAATCTCACAGAGTCTGCAGGGTAATGTGTCTAGGCTAGTTTCACGAGTCTTCCCATAATTACCTAAAACCCCGCATCTCCTCCATGCATGATACTCCGCATAAGCAACAGGATCATTAGCTAAGGCCTTGATGAAAGAAGCCAGTTCCTCCATGGAAGAGAATTTTGCCCCATCTATGATCGAATGTGGAGGTACAAAGTCCCAAACATTAGGGGCACCAAAATATATGGGAACTGCTCCAGAATCAAGAGCATAAAATAATTTTTCTGTCACGTAACTCTCTGTTGCTGTGTTCTCAATTGCAAGCACAAACTTATAATGGGACATGGCACAATGTATATGATCCCACCACTTAGGTTCTTCATTGCTGTCCGTCACACAATCAGGATAGAAGGACAGTGCCTGGTTGACGCCTCCAACATTGTTCAAGCATTTGCCAAATGAGTGGTGCGGTAACAATTTGAGTAGGCTTTTGGCAAGTTGATTTCTTTGAGGAAGACATCGCGATGAGGACCAATAAACTAGAGTACCCTAAACACAGAAAACAATCCAATTTTAATATCCGCCACAAAAAAATAAAAAATAAAAAAATCTATATTACTGCACGGACTAATTATATAAACTAAAAGAAAGACTTCTTTAGTAGGGCGGTTTNTTTTTTAATTTCTGTCACTTTATTGTATTGATTCCAAAGTTTTGATTGGTGTTTTTTTTTTTTTTTTCTTTTTGCTTTTTAAGTTTTGAGGGAAAATATGTCTTCTTGCACCATTTTAGTTGAGTTTTGGATGGAAACTCTCATTAGGGATTACTGGGACCAATAAATGAACCAATAAATGAAAGGTTGAGGATTCACACTGCCAAAAAATTTTGGAACGTAAGATTGAGAAAAGAAGTGCAAAAGAGGATAAAGATCGGGGACGGTGACCGTGCGCAACTTTCCTTTCAATAGACGGAAAATAGTGCAATCACAAATAAGCAATAAGGACAAGGAATAGAGATGAACTAATATGAAATGTCAACGGGTTATTCGGAACACTTACATTGTTCTTGGTGGAAGATAAATGATAATTTCGGTTGTTGTGGAAGAGTGCCCCAGCATATGTTGACTGGACATCATCTTTAGCATGATAACTAATAAAAATGTCCTCGTAGCCTGATCTCTTCCTGCCGGCTTCCAGATCCATGTATACACGAAGTGGATCACCATCACTCCTCTGACAAGAAATGATGGTGAGGATGCTAAAAGAAAAATGATGTGTACGGATATTGAACGAACTGAAACTTGCAAATGGTTTACAATGCATACAAGGTTGGTTTTGAAAACAATCTTGTTTTAGACATTGAAGTACATAAAATGTCTGCCCAAAAATATGAAGCATGCTCCAGACTAAACTAAGCCTCTCAATGTAGACACTAACATGAAGACCAAAGCTAATAACAAAGAATTTAACATAAATCAGACAGAAAGCTCTTTAGGCAGCAAATGCCAACCAAAAAACAGGAAGCTGTATCCTCTATGCTCAAATAACACGAACAATCATAGATATGAAATAATATTAAAATATAATATGTAGTTTGCTTTCCTTTGATGACAGACTTTTTGTCAAACATAAGCTAATTCAGGAAAGAGAAACGGAAGTTTAGAAGAGTCAAATCACAGATTGACAATGATTATCAATAAATGGTCCAACATAATATGAGGTTATGTTAACAAAACAGAATACCAAAACTCAAAACTTGACTTAGGCTCTGTTTGAGCCAAATTATAGTAGAATGAGAATGAAAAATATAGCCGTTATTTGGGCCCACATAAGAGAGAGAAAATTTGAATTTAAATGTTGATATGATAGATGACGGTCATATTTTTCATTTTAATGAGATAATAATGTAGATCAAACGGGGGCTTAATTAGTCTTTGAAGTATTTTAAAACTGTTGTCCTCAATCTAGAAATCCATTTTTCTGTAAGCCAACATGCAAACCAGCAGATATAAGAGGCTGCCATAATTTGCAAAGCCACAGGCAGATTTGTTCCAGACAGACATCCTGGTCTATTTCAATTAGCAGAGTATTTTAGTATTTTTGGTGGTGCACGTTTCCTTTTCCCTCTATAGATATAACACTTGTGATGGAATATTCTATCCACTTCAATTCAGAATCCACATGGCAAGGCAGACACTAATTCCTGTACCCGACGTCAAATACATATTAGCGAGGGAAGAAACAGAAGCAAGTCTGTAGTTGTGCCCTTCTCAATTTCTAATAGGAAACTAGTTTAACTGAGTTTGAGATCTAAAGATCACTTTATAGTTAAAAACATCACAATGTCTTCCTTTTTCTCTGAATAAGTATCTGATGATCTGTTTTAAGTTAGGGTACTATAATAAGGAACGCATTAGAAATCTTTCTACTGCTATTTAATTGGAAAAAAAAGAGGGCTCCACCATTTCTTTCCATATACAATAGCAGATATGTGGCAAAGCTGTGCATTTGATACATCCCTTTCGTCAAGGTTCACTTTCTGTTTTCCTTTTTAGGCAAATGTTTTCTCTTTTATTTTATCAATTTCCAGTTGATCCCAGACAAGTAAAATTTATGCGAACTCATTGCACGTGAAGAAAATTCAGACTATTGGGGTTCTTAGACAGGAATGCACATCAGGATGGAAGACACACTATAATTCCTTTGAGATTTTATTAGTGTCAAGTTCCGTCTATTTTTCTATTTCTTCAATTCCTATTGCAAAACATTGAATCCAGATGGTGATTGGCTCCCAATTTGGGGAAAAAACCTAGGTTATTATTCTAAAGTTCCAAATATAATATGCCATTTTCCGATCAATTTGAAGGGAAATCATTAATGCCAGGGCAGTTTCCATACAGCCAGATCAAAATACAAGGACTATAATGCAAAGACACATCAACTGTACATCGCTTTGGCAATACTAGTCAAATAATGAAGTGCAATACAGAATTCACAGAATCAACAAAACTAAAATTTCTCAGAGAAATAGTAAGTGCATACTTTGTAAACAGTTTATGACCTTACTAGACAATATGGACAGAATTTTAACTTTCTTTTTCTTCCTTAATACAATCCAGTTTAATCCACATTAGCAAACATGTTGTAATTGAGCTGAAATTGGCTAACAAGATGATTGCCGGTGCTTAATGGAAGCCTTTTTAGCTACTCTTCTCCATTGGCTTTTAAGCACGGCCAAACATGCGGTAAGAACGGTACCTGAAGAGGAGGAGTCGTGGTCTCAAACAGAAGGGCATCAGGTTTATCAGCAAGAACAGAAGATTTGGTCCACAAACAGCTCAACCCACATCTACAACTATACAAATTATCCAAATTATCAGGAATCCAAGTCCACCCTTTGACCAAAACACACACATGCTTCATCTTCAACTTACTACACTGAAATTCACCCTCAAAATCTTGCAAGGATATTGACCCATTTCCCAAACCCTCTTTGTGCTTTTCTCTGAATCGATCACAGCCGACTTGAGAATCCCACTTCTTGTACGCTTTAAACAGATCCCTAAATGGGTCTGGGCCTGTGTATTTTGATGAAAGGTTTGTTAATAGTAAATTTTTGGGTGGCGAGATTGCAGAATTGGCATATGGGAATTCGATCAAATCTGTTAGGAGGAGAATTACAAGTGTCAATCCCAACATTAGTGCGATTACAAAAATGTTAATAGGGTTTAATTGCATCATAAATTGGGGGACTTTTTCGAATTACGTCTCAATTCCTCCTCTCTCTCACTGGGGGAGGGGGTAGAGAGATTTTTGTAATTTCCTCTGCAAATTGAACTCGTCGGTTACAATCTGCCGGTTGACTAACTCCTCGTTTCGATAAGTGGTACATGTTTGGCCAATCTTGAAGAAATTACTTTTAAGTTAAAATTAAAAATAAGAATAATGTTACTCGTACGTGCAGTTTGGGGGTTTGTCAATCAATGTATCTTAGTAAAATTCAGTATTTTTTATTAGTCAAAATTAAAAATATAACATTTTTGGCTAGCTTAAGTAAACGCGGTTCCGTGTTGGTGTAGTTAAAAATTAAATTTTTAATTGATTTTGATAAAATTTAATAAAATGAATTGTCGATTGTGATAAAATTCAATGATGTGAAATTGATGTCTCTAACGATCTATTTTTTAGCATCCGTAGATAAAAAAAAAAAAGTTGGGATTAATATTGTTAAGAATAAACATAAAGGACAAAAGTGCAAAAGGAAGTAAAAATTAAAGATGGCATATGCAATTTTTTCAAATCTGAATTAGGAAAAAGAAATTGTTGTGCAACGGGGATGATATTTGTTTTCAAATTGTTGCTTCAAGGTTATTTGGTTAGGAGGTTCATCAACCTAGCATGGCTGACATTTTATTATCAAGCTGAAAGTTTGTTTGGCACAATTTTTTTAAGGAAATAATGATTTTTAAAAAATATATATATTTGGTTAAAAATTGGAGAAAGATTGTAAATCATATATGTGGTTGAAAATGATTTGATATTAATTAAGGAAAAATTACCTTCAACCCTATATTTTACTTTTTCAGTTTGAAAAATCGTGTATTAATTGTTTTTATTCAAATATCAGATTATAATTATATTTTAATTTAAAAACATATTATACACCCCCACTACAACTACCCACCCCCACTTTCTAAACATTTCCGAGCATGTCTCCGATTCTTCGCCATTGCTACCATCCACCAAGCATTCCGTCTCGGAATCAACTAGATGGAGTAGTGGCGGTGCCATAACAATGAGGTGGGTGTTGTGATTTGATTGTAGATTTGTCTTTATATAGTTGTGGTGGCGTCGTCGTTATGAGATAGGCATTGTGATGTGGCTGTATATTTGTCTTCCTACAGTTGTCGATGGTGGTGATGTGAAGTGAGTGCTATGGGGGGGGTGAGAAGAAAATCAACGATTGCCGAACATAGGGCGATGGTGGTGTGAAGGAGAAAGCAAGTGGTTGTAGACTAGGTGACGGTGGGTTGTGATGGTGGGGTTGTTGTTCAATGGTTGTGGTGGTGTAGTGGAGGTGGAGGTGGAGGTGGAGGTGGAGGTGAAGGTGGTGGTTGGGGTTGGGGTTGGGGATTTGAGACGATGTGTTAGGTGGTGCTAACGGTAGTGGAGTAGGGTGGGGTAGGTAAGGTAGCAAAGATAAAGGGTAATTTGTGGTCATTCCTTCGTAATTGTAATAAATTAATTTGATAATTTGTAATTGGAAAAAAATTTGTAATCAATTAATTTAATACTCTGGAATCGATAAATAAGTTGTCATTAATTAATTTAATAATTTGTGATCGAAAAATAACTTGTCAACTTTATACTTGGTGTTACCATGACCACTCAATTTGATTTTGTTTCACCATGATCACCCAACTTTATATTTAGTGTCATCATGACCACTCGATTTGATTTTATTTCACGATAACCATCCAATTTCATATAATTTTTCACAATGGCCACCCAATTTCTTTTCACAATTTTCATTAATTTTAAAAGGGATAAAAGATAATTTTGCATTATATATATAAAATAAATTTAAAAAATAAAAATAAAAAACTGTTTAAAAAGACGTTACTAAAAAAAAGTTATTTAAAAAAAAGTTACTTAGAAAAATAAAATAAAATAAAAAGTTATTTTAAAAAAGAGATTCCTTAAAAAAATAAAATAAAATAAAATTTTATTTTAAAAAACGCTTTTTAAAGTAAAATAAAAACTTATTTTAAAATTTTAAACAAAAACTTGTAGTTTTGTTTTTTTAAAAAAAAAAAATTATATATATATATGTTACAAAGTTACTGATTTACCCCTTTTAAAATTGGTGAAAAGATATAAGGTGGTCATAGTGAAATATTATATGAAATTAGATGGTCATGATGAAATGTTATGTGAAATTGAGTGGCTATGATCAAATAAAATCAAATGGATGGCTATGGTAACACTAAATATAAAGTTGGGTGTCCATATCGACATTAAGTATAAAGTTGAGTGGTCGTTGATGAATTTAACTCAATTATATAATAATTTGAGACAGATAATAAGCAGTGATATATAAAATTTGTGATTTGTCATCAAGAAATAAGTTGTTATCAATTAATTTGATAATTGGTGAACGATGAATAAGTTGTGACCTATAAAATTTGTAAAATATGACGTGATGTTATGTAATTATAACTAGTATGTAACTGTGATTACAAGTTATATATATGTTATCGTGATCTTACCCTATATAATTAATAAAACTTATTTAATTAATGCCACCTAATTTTGAAAGAATTTTACAAGATTGTCAAATTTGAAAGTATGTCTTTAAAGATTGATAGTTTTGTATTTTTCCCACGGTAAAAAATTCCCTTAAACCCTACTTTTTAATTTTCAGTTTCAAAAATCAAATACTATTTATTTTTTTAGTAATCAGATTATAATTATTTTGTAAGGTAAAAACATATATATACCCAACTACACTATTCCCACCCCCTCTATATATTGTGCCCTGTTTGGTGAGGATTAAATTAAGATTTTTAGTATATTTTGATAAAAGTTAATGAAATGTATATTTAAAAAGTTTTGAATATCATGAAATATGTTATTAAAATTAATTATTAATTGTGTTGACGTTAAAAAGTGTAAGAATCAATTTAAATCAACTTTGAAAGCAAAATAAAAAGAAACTCAAGATTTTTTTCGATAATCACTTCTAAATTACAAGTGTTTTATCAAAAGAGACATTTTTAAAGATCCCAGTGTTCGCTTCCTGTCCAAAGATAGCTCGCATCCTTTTATACGTAAAGAAAATCGAGTATCACCCACTTTCATGTTTGTCAAAGTACATTACTGACATATCTTCATTGGTTGCTGAGGTCGGCTTGTCAAGTTATTGTGAGATCTTCCTATTGGTGGGTCCCTAGCAATTAATGAGCTAGTGAGTAAGTGAAACTACATCATACGATTAGTGAAATAAGAGGGCGCTGACGTAAGTTCTGAATGCAATAATTAATTTAATTGCATGTTTTATCAGTATGTAAGAAATCTATAATCATTATGTTCCCTTGAAGCAAGACGTTACGAGCTGACCTTATAAGACCGATCTCATATTAAGATATACTAGGTGTGTGCAATAATTTTTTTTTTAATTAAGGTGCATATCGGATGTTAACAGATTTAGATTTAGATTTTAATACGTACGAAAATAGGGGCTATTCGGTCAGGCTCCTTATCGATATTAAATTCCCAATTTTGGGTGCACATTTTCAAAGTAGTCAAACCTTATATTGTACTTGCAAATGTAAAATATTATTAGTCGAGATGAAACAAGACAATACTCGGTGATAATCATTGAAATATCTTGTGCATGATCCTCATCAAATGAAGAGGAATGGAGGGTCTGCAGATTCAACTTGTATTTTCTGCCTTGAAGGACTAGGCTAAGTACCACAATATATAGATTATTACATACAGTCAAATCTCTCTAGAACTCTATCTATGTTTCTCTCTCTCTGAATTATTCAGTATATATCTACATATCTTATCTTACACATGAGATGGGCAGCACGTACTTCCAATTAGCAATGCATAAACATGAGAATATGTATTTACTTTGCTAAAATTTCAACTCCACTTCGAGCTGCCTGAGCTTCTTAAGACACTACATACTATATCGAACCGATATTAAGAAAATTTCAACAAGCTAGCCACGTAGACAGTAGATTTTCGAACATTACTCTGTGTATATGTTTTCTTCTTTTGACACGACGTCGAATCATAAGATATTAATTAATTATAGCACGTTTCTTGGCATATGTTTGTCCTATAGTTCCTGTACAAAAGACACAGTGATTTGTTCCTGTGAGAATGGTCTGAAACTTGAAAATTAATTCAACTAAGTGGAGAGTATGGCAAGATTTGCAGAGTTACTGACACCATGTGCAAGCATAATAGGCCCTCAACACCACAAAATCCATAACCTCTGAACATTTGCATGCATGAATTTGTACATTCTTGCATGTGAAGGAGAACTCCATTTGTGTCAAAATCTGTTAAACAAACTTCGTTCGACTTTAACTGACACTAATATAGTAATGAAGACTAATTTCGAGAAAATCAAAATAAACTAGAAAAGGGATGAGGTATTCGAAGAGCTTGTCGATGTTGTGATGAAGTCATGTTCGAACGGAATTGACTTAATTGATTTTCTGACTGAATTTATTAATAGTTTGTGAATTCAACTTGACTCGTGATGATCTCTATTGATGCATTTGACTTGACAAATTGTAGTATTATTCATACACAAACCTTGATATTTCGAGATATGTAAGTTTTGGATGGGGCGAAATTTTTTTATCCACAGCTATAACCCTTATCTTATGAAAGCAAAAGGACACACTTTTCAAGTTCTATATATAGAGATGCCCATCTCTTTCACTTGAAACACCCCTCCCAAATTCCCACTCCTTGTCTCTTATTCATTTTGCTTAGGATATAATGCAGAAAAAAGTAGAAACTGAGAGAAGAAAAATAGCACCAAAAGGCCACTTTGTGGTGTATGTGGGCAGTGAAATGACAAGGTTTGTTGTTCCTACATTGTACTTGAAGAATCCTTTGTTTCAACAACTGCTTCACAAAGCTGCAGAAGAGTTTGGTTTTGACAATAGTAC